TAGGTTCCTAGTTGGTGTCATCCTTGTGGATCTCTGTACAATTCCCTAGCTCCGTCTATTTATGTGTCTCTTTTCTTGCTCTCCTCTGTTCATCTCCCCTCTTAATCTTCCTGATCCCTCATGTTCTCCTCCCTCTTCTTTCTCCTGCCTCCTGCCCCCTCCCCCATGCTCCCAATTTGTTTAGGGGCTCTTGTCTTTTCTGCTTCACTGGAGGACAGTGTATGTCTTTCTTATGGTCCTCCTTGTTTCTTTGCTTCTCTGGTGGTGTGGATTGTAGGCTGGTAATCCTTTGCTCTATGTCTAATATCCATATATAAGTGAGTACATACCATGTTTGTCTTTCTGTGACTGGTTACCTCACTTAAGATTGTTTCTTCTAGTTCCACCCATTTGCCTGAAAATTTCAAGATTCCATTGTTTTTTCCCAAGCTGAATAGTATTCATTCATTCACAATAGTACTCCATTATGTAAATGCACCATAATTTCTTTATCCATTCTTCAGTTGAGGGGCATTTAGGTTGCTTCCAGGTTCTGGCTATTACAAATAATACTGCCATGAACATAGTTGAACAGATGTCTTTGTTGTATGAATGTGCCTTGGGTATATGCCTAAGAACGGAATTGTTGGATCTTAAGGTAGACTGGTTCCCATTTTCCTGGGGAATCTCCATACTGATTTCCAAAGTGGCTGTACAAGTTTGCATTCTCACCAGCAATAGAGAATTGTTCCCCCTTTCTCCACATCCTCTCCAGTATAAACTGTCATTGGTGTTTTTGATTTTAGCTACTCTAACAGTGTAAGACTGTATCTCAGAGTTGTTTTGATTTGCATTTCCCTGATGGCTAAAGATGTTGAACAATTTCCTAAGTGTCTTTCAGCCATTTTAGAGTCCTCTATTGAGAATTCTCTGTTAATTTCTGTACCCCACTTTTTAATTTAATTATTTGGTGTTTTGGTGACTAGCTTCTTGAGTTCTTTGTATACTTTGGAGATCAGCCCTCTGTCTGATGTGGAGTTGGTGAATATCTTTTCCCATTCTGTGGGCTGCCATTTTGTCTTGCTGACTGTCTTTTGCCTTACAGAAGCTTCTAAGTTTCAGGAGGTCCACTTCCTAGAGCCTTCATCCATTAGCTGATGGAAACAGAAGCAGAGATCCACAGCTAAGCATTGAGCCCAACTCCTGGAATCCAGTTGTAGAGAGGGAGGAGGGATGACCAAAGCAGTCAAGACTGTGCTGGAGAAACCCATAGAACTAGCTGACCTGACCTAGTGAGAGCACAGGGACTCCAGTAGTAAAGCTGGGGAACCAGCATTGAACTAAACCAAACACTCTGAATGTGGGTCCAGTCAGGAGGCCTGGGCAGGCTATGGGACCTCTAACAGTGGAACAAGTATTTATCCCTAGTGCACAAATGGACTTTGGGAGCCCATTCCCTATGGAGGGATATTATTTCAGCCCAGATACATGGAGGAGGGCCTAGGCCCTCCCCCAAATGATGTGGCTTACTTTGATGATCCCCCATGGAAATCCTCACCATTCTTGGAGCGCAGGTGGGGGTGGGCTGGGAGGGTTGGGTGGGCATGGGATAATAGGAAGGAGAGGGAAGGGGGATATTTACATGTAAACTGATTGTTTCTACATTTAAAAAAGGGGGAAATGTGTTTGCATTATGCTTTTGTTAGGAGGATTAGTTCAATTGATATACAAAGAAAAAGAAAAATAGATTCATGCAAGCATTCAATATTTTTAGTTTACTTAGTGTAAAGGGATTTCTCTACTTACCTCAGTTATATGGTTTTTGTTTTGTTTTTTAAATTGGCCAAACACTCAGGACAAGTTCTCCTTTTGGGAAGGGTATTATTATTAGTAACCATAAAATGAGTTTGTATGGCCTTCCATTTCTCTCAACATTTATGAAGTTCTTGGACCATCCAAGTCAAATACAGGACAACAAACAAATCAAACTTCAAAAGACCAAAGGGAACTATAAAAAGAGAAATGTATTCACATTGTCCTTAAAACTATGAAAACAACCTCTAAAATACACTGGTTATGAAAACAGGGTAGGATACTGTGTTAGTCCGGGCAGGACATGATGTCCAGGAATTGCTTATAGCAGATGGGAATAGATAGCTAGGAAAGACTCCAAGTGCTGCTGATGTCTTCCTCAGGAAGCCTTAGGACAGGACTATTGCATGTAACAAGATTCCAAGTCAAGCATTCTGCAGCATTTCATTTGGAAACTCGTATCTGCTCAGTACTGGGCCACGAATTCTCCTGCTTTCTTCTTTGCATTTGACATACCTCCTAAATCTGGCCAGAAGTTCAAAATTTCCTTAAATGTGCTTATTATGAAGTCAATTTTCCTTTTCCAGAAGGAAAAGATGAAACCATTTTGGAAAGCTATGGTATAAAGGAATATTCCATTCACCAAGATTTACTCGTGCACATCTTGGGCTTAGCAGGGAGGTGATGAGTGGGTAACGAGGGGGAATTATAAGAATTGTATCTCATCATTTTTGTTTTGATTCCTGAAACATCCAAGCAGAACGGGGAGGGAAATTTGTTAGGTTGAGATGGGAACAAAAGATAGAAATGCTTTTGGTCCATTTTTCTGTTTCTGTTTTTGACTCTGTTGGGATACTGAACAGTTTGTCCTTGTGTAATATAGGACAACTCATGCATTACAAAGTAGTGATGCAGAGGGCTCAGACAGCTATAGCGTCCATTGTGCATCCTAGAAATTCTACTGCTAACATGCACAGAGTTTCAGTGGACAACCATGGCAAAGACTGGATGGGGAATGAAGGGCATGGATTCAAGAATATGACAGAGACTTATCAGAGTCTTCGACAAGAATAAAGAGTAGGGGAAAGATCAGGCCCATGGAGTGGACCACCGGTCAATACCCAGCCCAGAAATTCATCAAGAGCAGTGATTAGCTGTGCTGTATAATAGTCTGCTATGTGAGGAGACAGGCATTACTGAGAAGATTCCAGAAAGCCAATCTATGACCAAAGATTCTCTTTATTCCTGGCACCAGGAAGTTTTATATGCTACTGACCATATTTAAAAGGCACTATTTTGTGCTAGATCTAGGAGAAAGAGACATTTTTAATTATTATCTTGTACTACTTTTAAAATTTTTAATGATTCCTATTTATTTATTTATTTATTTATTTATTTTTGTGTGCATTGGTGTTTTGCTAGCATTTATGTTTGTGTGAGCATGTTGAGTTCCCTGGAACAGGAGTTAGACAGTGATGAGCTATCATGTGGGTGCTGGGAATTGAACCTGGGTCCTCTGGAGGAGCAGCCAGTACTCTTAATCTCAGAGCCATCTCTTCAGCCATTCATATTACTTTTTAATGCAGATTAGATTAAATTTAATTTATGCTTCATTGTTTGTTGACTGATCCCTTTATTAGGCATATGAATTGAGTCTTAAAAGATTAATTTTTTTTCATTAGTACTTAATTTTAATGAGAACTAACAGTTTAGAAGGACTGGAATAGTGTTCAATATCAACTTCTGAAAAAAATCACATTTATATAAAGAAATGAAACAGGCCAGCAGAAATCCAAAAAAGGTACAGCTTCCCTTATTGCACATGGATGAAATGTGCTACTGGGGTAGGTAATGCTTAGAATAGGCCACAGGAGGAAATGAAATCAAAAAGGGCAAACCTCCAGCCTGCATTTAGTCTACAGCTGGAATTCTCTAGTGGCCTTAAAACATACTTGGTATATTGGACACATAGATGCTCTTCACAAACATGGCTGCCATGCATTTCAGTTACATACATTCTATTTGTTCAAGTCTTGTGTGAGCTCACTGCACAGCTCTCCCCCACACAGTGCAACATTTGCACACAAAAGTCCCCAGTGCTCACACTCACAGACAACAGGGGAAGTGAGTGGCTTTCTTTTTCACCCTTATAGGGAAGCATACTGTAGCTATTGTTCACCTTTTAGCATACTTCTGATTTTGGTCATTTATATTAGAGTAAGGAAAAAGTGACAGTTAATGTGAATGGGTACTAACATAATTCCTGCTACTACACAATAAAATACAATTTTAAAAAAAGTCCCCATCATGTTCATTAAGGTGGCAATAACTGTATGAAAAAGAAAAAGCCTATAAACGTATAGAAAAGTTCAACTTTGTCTTCTGAACAAATTAAAAAATGATTTTTGTTTTTATCCTTGAGTGCTATATTAAAAAAAAATGTAAACCTGTGGGCTTAGTTACCATGAAGACTTGTCCCCCTAAGCCCAGGTTTGACCTCAAAGTTCGGCCTGAGCTAGTTTGGCCTTCAAGTTTTCTCCAAGTTTGTCCATGAACTCAAAAGTATTCAAGTAGTCAGAACACTGAACATTGGGTAAGCCTTTAATGCAAGCAGCCAAGTCCTTAGTCATAAAGCCAGCCTCAATGGTCTCAATGCAGACGTCTTCAAGAGCCTTTGCAAAGAAGCTGAGCTCAGTATTATTATCAAGCCTTGTTCTGTGGACCAACCCTCGGGACCAGGCAAAAATGGAAGCAATGGGGTTCGTGGATGTCTCCTGTCCTTTCTGGTATATGCGGTAGTGACGTGTGACAGTGCCATGGGCAGCCTCTGCTTCTACCGTCTTACCATCTGGACAAATCAGCACACTGGTCATCATGCCAAGGGAACTATAACTTTGGGCTCCTGAGTCTGACTGCACATCGCCATCATAGTTTTTACAGGCCCAGATAAAGCCTCCCTCTGATTTCATAGCTTGGGCCACCATGTCATCAATGAGCCTATGCTCAGACCAGATCTTCTGAGCTTCAAACTGGGATTTGTATTGCTTGTCATAGATCTGCTGAAAGATGTCTTTGAAACATCCATCATACTTCTTCAGAATAGTGTTTTTGGTGCTTAGATGCAAAGGCCAGCCCTTAGACAGAGCCATCTGGAAGGAACTGTGTGCAAAATCTTCAATTGACTTATTCGTGTTGTATGTGCCCATGGCAACACCATCACCTTCTTCAAAGTTATGCACCAAGTATTTCACCTTTTTAGTTCCATCTTTTGGTTTGTAGGTTATCTCTACTTTTCCAGGCCCGGGAACAACAAAATTAGTTGCTCTGTATTGGTCTCCATAAGAATACCCAGCCTGTCACCAGTCGGGGGATATTTTTGCAGATAGTAGCTTCCCTGAAGACAGTGCCACCCAGAATGTTCCGGATGGTGCCATTTGGTGATTTCCACATTTGTTTCAACTTGAGCTCCTCAACCCTCTTCTCATCGGGGGTGATGGTCGCACACTTGACACCAACGTTGTATTTGTTTATAGCTTCTGCAGCATCCTTGGTCACCTGGTCATTGGTGGCATCACGATTCTCTATGCCTAAGTCATAGCTGTGCAGATCCAGTTCCACATAGGGAAGAATGAGTTTTTCTTTAATCAGTTCCTAAATGATTTGTGTCATTTCATTTCCTTGCATCTCCACCACAGAACCGCCATGAATTTTTTTGGACATTTTTAACTTCAATAACCGGGCTCATGCCTGTGCGTATACAGACTGTCTCAACTCAACTCAGCAGCTGCTGGCTCAGCACCTGCCACAACCTTCGCACCGACGACAGGGTCCAAGTTTAAATTTTTTTTTTGCATACTTTCTTGATAATGGCAGAACCACCTGTAATAGAACAGGTGTTTTTGTAAAATTTGAAAACATTGAATATGTTGCAGGATCCTTGATCACACTCTGAACCCCTGTTAATATAAGCAACCTTGGATCAGGAGGCAGGGCCAGCAACTAGTTGATGGGAATTGCTATAGAGAACGCAGAGGACCCAGGAATACAGATAGAGACACACAGGAAGGAGTAGGGAGGGATATGTAGTCTCGTGGTCTTTTTGGTTTAGGATGGCTGGAGAGGCACTCTCTTGGTAGGTCTCTGGCCAAAAGGAAAGGTCAGCTGTTAGCTGCTCAGTCTCTCTGAGCTACAGATATTCATCCCTGCGTCTTTATGGGTAAATAGAAAGATGTTAGTTAAAAACAACATGAATAAGTAAAAAGAATTGGAGAATTTCATATATGAGTATTGGATTCAGATCATTCCCACCCCTTTCTCTCCCCTCTCTAACTTCTCTTCTGTCTACCCCAACCCCCTCCCTTTCAAATTCATGCTCTCTTCTTTAATTATTATTGTTAAGTGCACGTGTGTGCATGTAACACACACAGAGACACACTCACCGTTTACTAAGACCATTTAGTGTTTCTTTCAAGTATATGTGTTTAGGGCTGACTGCTTGGGGTTGGATAACCCATCAGAGGCTTGTCCCTGCAGAAGACTGGTTCTCCCTCTCTGAGCAGTCATGGGTTGCCTATACCTCTTTTTGCAGGCGTAGGGCCTTGTGTGATTTCCTGATCCATGCTTTCATGTCATCTACTGCTGTTCCTCTTTGGGATTTGTTTAGGCCACCAAGAGTCCAACATTATACCTCCTCTATGGCTGTTGGTTCTGTGTGGTTTGGAAGGAGGAGGAGTTGTATATCTTTGAACATGAACAAAGCTGGAGAGACAATGACATGGGGCATTGACAGTGGCATCATTAGGCTGCAGGCCAGCTGACTGTGCCTTGGACAAGGCCTAGAGGTCTCATAAAGGAACACATATGTCTGGCTTGACGAGTATAAGCAACAGTGTAATTATTGAGCCACCGGTGGAAAATTTCAGAATAAAAATGAGAGCATCTGGGATGCAGAACTTCTCTGTAAATGCCTGGCTTGTGTTTGAACGATCTGTTTCTCTATCATTGTGAGCACCAACTAGCCATAAAAAGCTCATCACTGTCAGTAGCTCTGTTCATTCAGCTCTTGGTCAACAATATAAACAACCTTGTTTGGATCAGGTCTTGCATCTCTTTAGTACAGTTCCAGAACTTAATATATTTTGCATATGAATGCTTTTTTTCTTTTTTAAAATTTAAATTAGAAACAAGCTTGTTTTACATGTCAATCCCAGTTCCTTCTCCCTCTCCTCCTCCCCTGCTCCTACCGCTGACCCCCATATCCCATCCCCTTTCTGCTCTCCAGGGAGAGTGAGGCCTCCCATGGGGGAAATCTTCAAAGTCTTTCATATCATTTGGAGCAGGGCCTAGGCCCTCCCCTGTGTGTCTAGGCTGAGAAAGTATCCCTCTATGTGGAATGGGCTCCCAAAGTCCATTCATATGCTATGGATAAATACTTATCCACTACCAGAGGTCCCATAGACTGCCCAGGCCTCTAGATACCCATGTTCAGGGGGTCTGGATCAGTCTTATGCTGGTTTCCCAGCTATCAGTCTGGGGGCCATGATCTCCCCCTGTTCAGGTCATGTCAGCTGTTTCTGTGGGTTTCTCCAGTCTGGCCTTGACCCCTTTGTTCATCACTCCTCCCTCTCTGCAACTGGATTCCAGGAGTTCAGATCAGTGTTTAGCTGTGGGTGTCTATCTCTGCTTCCATCAGCTGCTGGATAATGAAAGTTTTTTGACTAGGGAAATACCTTGCTTGTGATCTCTTTTGAATCACAAACTGCTTCGTTTGCTCAGCGGAACATACTGTTGTTTATTTGGAAACGAGAGTTTGCACATCAGGAATTTTTGGAGAATTCTAATTTTATTGCACGTGGATTGGTTCCCTGTCTTTGGAGAGTAGAGATGAAGAGTAAAGAAGAGAGTGAGGTAGAATAGAGAGAAAGGGTCACAAAAGTAAAATCATTTTCCCTTTAAGTGCAGGAGTTATTATTATTATCTGTTTTTTTCTTTCTTTCTTTCTTTCTTTCTTTCTTTCTTTCTTTTTTTTTGATTTCCGAACCTTATAGAACCTTGAAATCTTGTCTAAAACTAGGACACAGAACAGTTCCCTTTATAACACTAGTTAAATGGAAGTTTTCAGTTTTAATTTCTCTTGTAGGTGGAGGCTCTGAAAATGCCTGTGTGTGTTTTCTGATCCCCTGATTGCATTGTGACCCATCACACATTAACTATGCCCCATGCCTTCCTAACTTTTACAGTTCCATCTTCCACCTCATTGACACTTCAGACGATTTTAAAGACTTTTGAAGGTGAGAATAGGTTCAGGGTTGCCAGATAGCACATGCCAGGACATTGTCAGAAGTGGAGCATGAGAAATAGGCCTTTTCGTACATATGTATAAACCAGAGATTGAGCAAGCAATGTTCGCCCTGCCTCCAGTCTTCCTCTGTTTGTACTCCATTGGGTGATTTTGCTCTTAGCCTGCTTCCCATTTCTCTAAACCAATTATTGATTTTATAGATTGGGGCAAGGAGAAAGCTAAAAACACCTTATGTCATGATAAAACACTACGAAGTCATGAAGTAATAACCATTATATCTACTGAATACTGTGACATTTTTGCATTTTTACTTTCAGATGCGCTGAGCAGCGTGATGACCCTTCTCAACCCTGTTCTGTTTAAGCTCAAAGACCTAGCAGGGTCCACTCATCATCAGGGGAAGAAGAACCTTCTGTTTCCCCATCTTCTACAAGCACAGGGATACCCAAAGCCTTGCTGAGCCCACGACAGCTTATTGACTGTTAATAACCTTGACAAAGTTATTTTTCTTACAGAAAAAGGAGACCCGATGCCTTCTTTGTTCAATTGCCTGGTGCACACAGTAAGTGTCATTGGTAGGGAATTGTCCATGAGGCATTCAGTATGTAAATGCTCTAATTAGATCAATGTAAAAGAGCAGTTGTACATTCTGTTAGAGCAGTGTGTCTGGTTCCATTAATAAAAGCTCCCGAAGGCATGTGCTACTAGTTTTCTCAATTAGTTTGTCCCAGATCACTTCATCCTAAGGTAAGGAGCAGAGAAACAGTAGCATGAGAGGGTGGAGGGAGATGGAAAATTTACAGGTCCTTTCTCTAGTCCCCAGGTTTGTTCCTTATTCACTCTTTTGGCCACTCTTTTGGTTTTTGGAAAAAATCCCAATTTTTGCTTAATATTTGTAAAGCCCAAAAATAAAAACATAACTTTTCCCCATCATTTTTCTTCAAGGAAACATGCAAATTGTCGCCACTGCCACCGCCACCATCTCCTTTTCCTTCTTCTCCTGTTTCTGCATCTCCATGTGCTTATCACCATTATTCGGAAACCCTAAGATGGTGCCTGGAATTCTTCTGTTTAGTTATGATTTTATTTTTATTTATTTTTTTTTTGAGACGGGGTCTCTCTGTGTAGCTTTGGAGCCTATCCTGGCACTCGCTCTGGAGACCAGGCTGGCCTCGAACTCACAGAGATCCTCCTGCCTCTGCCTCCTGAGTGCTGGGATTAAAGGCGTGTACCACCAACGCCCAGATAGTTATGATTTTTGTGCCTTCCTTTTTCTCAAAGGCACCACAGACCCCAGAGCTTTGGAAATGCAGCCACTAGTGGAAAACAAAACAAAGACAGTCAGTTTGCAATGATTAGGAAGACTACCATGTTCTCCCTTACTTAGCCAGTAGCTTTGACGTTACTAGTTTGTCAGGTGCTTACTTAAAAAGGATCTGGAACTTTTAAAAGAGAGATATGTTCGAGAACTATCTTTTGTAAACACCCAGGACACTGGAGGAGCAAGGACACTTAGAGCGAACAAAATCCTAGGAGGGAATGCAAGTACTGAGACTTTGACTTTTTTTTTGACATTTCTTTTCTTTTCTTTTTTATTTGAATTAGAAACAAGATTGTTTTACATGTCAATCCCAGTTCCCTCTCCCTCCCCTCCTCCCCTACCACTTCCCCACAACTAAAACCCTACCTATCACATACCCTTTCTGCTCCCCAGGAAGGGGGAGGCCTTCCATAGGGGATCATCAGAGTCTGTCATATCCTTTGGGATAGGGCCTAGGCCCACCCTCGTGTGACTTGGCTCAGGGAGTATCCCTCTATGTGGATTGGGCTCCCAAAGTCCACACCTATGCTAGGGATAAGTACTGAACTACTACAGGAGGACCTGTAGATTTCCGAGGTCTCCTCACTGAAACCCATGTTCCTGGGGTCTGGATCAGTCCCATGCTGGTTTCCCAGTTATCAGTATGTTTGACTGACTTCTATACTGCCCTCCAAGCCACCATCCACCTCTGTTCTTCCTCCAGTTCTTTTTCCTGTTTGGTGGTTAGCCTTGGGTCAGGGCAATCTCCAAACTTCTCCTTTAAAATCATTCCATCAGGAGTTAAAGAGTCTCGGGGAATTTGAAAGCAAAAGGGAACACTGTATGGAGCTCCATGAAAAATGTATTAGCAGAGGACTGGTGTGTGCTGCCACAGGCTCTGGTCTGCCCAAGGTTACTGTCCTGGGAAGGAAACCTAGGAATTTGCTGCACATGTCCTGCCTCTCTTCTATGGTGTCTCTTCCACCCCCAAAGGCTTAGGAGACTTAAAAAGACCATAGAAGGAGAATGAAAAGTGAGCACTCCTATTTCTTTGCTGCTTCCCTGTTCTTGCTGTCATGGCTGTCCATCTTTGGTACTCAGTGTTCACACCTCTGAAGTGAAGACAGCATTATCTGCCTCG